AGAGAGAGAGAGAGAGAGAGAGAGAGAGAGAGAGAACGTAGATGTTCTCTTATTTATTTTTAATTAATTAAAAAATTTTTTCCAAATTTTTCTCCCTGTTCGCTCCTAAAATAATTCCTATTCTATTAATTATTATATTAACCTCTTTACTTACATAATGATATAAAAGGATTATTTTGATGAAATAAATTATGTATATTATTTAAATATACTTTCATTATCATCTTAATCACTTTATAAATATTATATTTAATAGAATTAAACTAAAAACTTGAAAAATTTTTATGCTTCATACATTAAAATATAAAAATATATTTTATTATAACTTAAATTTTATTTTTAATATTTTATTTCTAGTAGAACTGTATACGTTAAATATTATTTGTTCGTTATTATAGACAGCGCACGAGATATTTATTGCAAAAAATATTTCTTACCGTTAAATTTTTTATTAAATATCTTTGATTCTACATTAATTTTCCGTTGCCTCGAGATTTAGACAGAATATTTGCTTTCATGATGAAATTCTATCATACGTTATTTTTAACATTACTTTTAAAACTTTTTCCAAAAATTTCTTCAAATTATTCATCATGGAGAGCGAGTTTTTCGCGTCATTTATATTTTTTAACATTACGGAAAAAGTAATTTTTAATTTATTAAATAACAAGGCTATGAATTTTCATAGCCGCATAATTTATACATTTAACGTTCACACATTATTACATTTAAGTTGCCAACCTCGAGAGAATGTGGAAAATATTCAGTCACTGGTAGAAACTCTTTGTGTCAGAGTAATCGTATCACAGTCATTGTTCGACGCTTCATTGTAATACGAAGACTTCCGCAGGGGCAAAATTACGCTCTTCCGCGCTTCGTCATGTTTTTACCTATCATATACATGACGAAATATGTATTCGTGGCAATTGCCGAAAGCCGCAGAAGAAAAAAGAGAGTATCCCCCAAATTTTTAGCGTTACTCGACAAAAAAAATCTTTCGTCGTCGATCGAATTCACGGAGTATGTCTTTACTTATACAAAATTGGCAGCGAGGATAAAAAGCTTCATGGAAATTTTGGCGACACGAATTTCGCGACGTAGAACACGATGTATCCCACGCATCGTTCATCCTCGATGATCCGCAACATGCGTCATACCTACAATTTTGGAAACTTCAAAGCGAGAACTGAAATCTAATGTGTAATGACGGTGAATTCTGATCTCGATGCTAAAAGCAAATGAAGCGATCACGTACTAATCACTGACGTGCTAATTCTTTTAAAATATATTCTTCGCGTCCGTAGCGCGTCGACAAAATCGGACATCACGGATATTATAAGCGCTTCGATTCGTACTTTGACGCGTGCTTTAAACTACGTCAATTGACGGGCTCATGAAAGTTTCAGAACACCGCGAGAACTTAACAGCGCGCCACGAATTCGTGCTGATCTCATCGTCTCAATTCTCACTGTTAATTCCCACGATCTATCGACGACGTGCCGCGCACCCGAGGACATTATTTCGATTAGCGAACAACGAACAAACGTCGATTCGAGCCCGCAGCACCAATCTCCAAATGCATGTGCATGTTGACTAAATTTCGCGAACATTATACGTCCGGATAAGCGGGATAAGCGATTCACGATTATACTTCCGCATACTAGTGATTCACGATATGTATACTTTATAATTCGAAATTTTTCGAAATTTTTTTTCTCTTCACAATAAATTCGCAGTAACCAACACTGTTAACGATTCCTCAGTCGTTGTTTGTAAAATCATTATATTGCTCTATATATGAACCAACGCGAACCGACTGACTTGCGCCCTTCGACTTCGTCAAAAAAAATCGCCACACTGAATTGACACGGATAATAAACAACGAATGTAAATTCGATGAAACTGTCCGTTCACATTATTCACAAATTGTTTCATACAAATAGCAAACATTATTCACAGACTATTTCGTACGAATGGCAAACTGGGAATCGCGAGTCGCGCACATAATCCGACGCTAGTTTACACGACAATAATCGGATAGCTGGTGATAGTGCTGGCGGTATAATGATAAGCGTCGATTCCTCGCACTGTGATGTAACAAATCGACGATTCTTCCCGCACGCACAAAATGTATCAGATTACTGTCAAGTCTGCTATTTTCTCGCGTCTTCATTTTTTTTTTTTTTTTACAAGATCAAATTACGGATTTCTTTCCGGTCACTCGACACTGCGTCGTCTGCGTCCCAGAGAGTTTCCAAAATTCCATTGTCGGAAAGGACTAGCTTAGGCTGTTTAACGATGCTACTTTTACACTGCGTCAAAAGTCATTTCGAAAAATCTTATAAAGATGTTCTCCCTCTAAAGATCTTCTCCCTCCTCTGACCTCAGAGGGACAGCGAGATTCAAGATCCTTTCTTCTGCCATGCATCCAAACAATAGATTCGAAAAAAATATCGAAACACGCATAATATTGAATTACAATGAGAACTTCCGAGCAACGGGACACAATCGACACAAGAATCATTCCGTCTGTTTCTTACTGGTTATTGAACAAGGATGACCATTGTGTCAATTTATGTCTCATGCTTGATCTATGGATGGATAGATTGATCGATGGATCCATCGAGACTAGCGGCGCGGGAAAATTTTCGAATTCGACTTCACTTTCTAGCAGAAACTTACGTTCGACGTTTCATCGCCCAATCCATATCTCAATGCGCGGCGTATCCGGCAGGTTTGTCACCGACGCCTCTTGATATTCGATGCGGCTCGATTCTCCTCCTAACTGGCCCGTTGTCGCACAATTTTTCCAAACTCCTTTTCGAAATCACCCAACATCATCTCGTTAATTACGCGGATGTTTCATGCGGTTCTCTTTGTACGCGATCAACGGATTCCGTAATCTGAAGGTACAGTGAAGCGAATAGTACATAAATAATTGTACACTTTATAATAATGGATTCAAGCACTTTCGTTTTACTTTCGTTTCTTGCGCGCATTTACAAAAATTTAATCTCGCTCAATAGTCTGGTCGAATTAATCCAAAAACATGGATTTTGAATATAAACACGAGAAATAAAAATAAATAAATGTATTTAAAAAATTCAAAAAGTTGCAAAAAAAAAAAACAATCGTAATTAGACGCGTTTTATATTTACGAATCCAATGAATATAATTAATTTCGAAGAAAAATCGAACTATTTTCGCGAACACAAATGTCGCGTCGTAGACGCCAAACGCGTCCGTGTCTAATCCGAACTCAACCTAACCCCGGTCCGTTTCCGCGGAGAAATCATATCCAGAAATAAAGCGTAATCAGGAATTACTTACTGCCCAAAACGTCCGCAAGTTAAAATTTCGAAGATTTATCTCGAGGGGAGTGGCTCGCGAGGGAAGGCTACCAAAGGCGCTGACTGTCAACTTTCAATATGTTCTCCGGACTGACGGGGTCAAAGGCGCTCCTCTCGGCACCGATATTTTCACGGTACGACATAATACGACATAATACGACAAGGTCAATAACGACGAGGCGGGCATCACGTCGCTGTTGTTTCGCGAGAATTCGTTGGGGGATTTGGAAAAAAAGTGCGTTTGTTGTACCTCTAGCGGTACATGTACTCTGCTCTGACGTACAACAAACGCGAAGGAAAGGGGGAAGGAAAAAAAAATGGAACGAAAAAGATATTGCACACTGTTCCGCGCACATTCACTACGGCAACATCGTGGAACCGGAGCACATAGCGTTCGTTGTCGTCGTCTTCGTCGTATTCTCCCACCGGAACTTATCCGTCTCGTGTCACCAGCACCCGGCCCATGTCTTCGCTACGTGGCGAGGCAGCGCGCACGGGTGCATAACATAAATTACCGCGCGCGTGTCACGTATGTATGTGTAAATATATATATATATGTATGTATATATATATATATATATAAGTATAGGTGCGTGTTATGTGCGCGCGCGACCGCGTATAGCATATAACGCACCAAAGTACCAAGTGGATCAGAGATACGACCTCGGCGACGTTCCAACGACGACTGAACTCGCGAATGCCTCACATGTATCGAGCGGTGGGTGAGGGGGAGAAGGCAGGCGCGGCTGGGAGAGGTAAGGGGAAAGCGCGACTACATGTGGGGATACGTGTGGGGTACTCGTGTGAACAGTGGTGCCATTGGCGTAGGGTAGGTAACCAGTATCGATGTTTCTCGATGTTCGTGGATTTCCGGGGATTTTGTTTCTTTCTGTAATTTTTATTTTTTACAACATCCGATACTGGTTACGCCAATCTGATTTTTGAAGAAACGCCGGAAGAAGGAACGGGAAGAAGACTATTCTGATTTCTTGCGCGAGAAATGTCGCGGTTCTGTAATATTATTTTTAAAGAAATTTTGATATTCATATGGTTTTCGCGATATCGATTGATCTAAAATGTTCAAGTTGGATTTTAGAAATAATAATAACGATGATAATTATATGAAAAAATATATAATAGATTGCGTTTTTTAAAATGCGAAAGTTGCTCCGAAATTGTGCCGACCGACAATGATAATTACTTTATAATAAGAATCAATATATTATATCATATATTATATATATCTAGCATTATATAGACACACACTTTTTTTCACACACACACACACACACACACACACACACACACACACACACACACACACACACACATGTATATATTATACATACATATATATGTGTTGCATATCAGATCTATATACATGTATGTGTATATGTACATAAACTCTCATTGAACATTACTGTATAACAAAGGGCATAATTTACTCACTTATCTCATTGTTGCGTTAGCAACAGTTATCTAAAGTGTAACGTACAATGGCGGCTGCAAGTTCCCCGAATTGTCAGGGGATATTCACTTCGTCAGTTCTCGCTATATACTCACTGAATATCACTGCCGAACTACGTAATTTAGAGCAGCTCTCATACGCCGATGCCGATCACTAGTACCAGATGTGGTTAATCAATTCAAGGATAATTCCAAGACATTCCAAGTAAAAAATCTTTATTTTTTCAGGCCAATTAATTTCCATTACTTTATTAATTTTTATTGATTGATTAAGATTTATTAATTCGCATAATATTATGTTTTACATTTTAGTTAGAATTTTATATGATGAATGAATTGAAACGAAAACAAATTTGGAACAGTGTTATTTACAGCTTTATAAATAATATCGAACAAACATTCAGTACAAACGATAATTTTTCTGCTATATTCTATTTTATAAATTGTAGACATTCAAATCCAAATTTTTTATTAGTAACAACGATGTAAAGACTCTTGAATATAACATAAATAAACAAACAAAATAAACGGCGAAAGAAGAGTCATTAGGTTATAAAACATTTAATTAATTAAAAATATTAGGCGAAGATACATGAACCGATACGGAGCGATTGTCTAACGATCTGGCTTTGATACTGGACATCTTGACTGCTCAATCGCACGTATTTTCGAGATCCATCCGAATTTTACTTTTTACGTTTTATGTTGATTGCGACATGAATTATTTTTTTATTTATTGTTTTATTTTATCACACTTTACATCTGAAGAGGGCTCAATCCTGTAGCCGAAACTTGTTATGTTTTTTTATACATTTATACATTTATATGCGCCGCTCCGTTTATTTTGTTTGTTTATTTATTTTTTATTAGTAATTTGCTTTATTGTATCTTTAAGGAAAGTTTCTTATACCCAAACACAACTTTTTTTTTTATTGACATATTCAAATATCACATTATAAAATTATTAATTATTATCATTGGAGCTTCATTAAATAGATTTCGTAATTTCAAAGTTACTTTCATCTTTACCATTTGCATAAATAGCATGAAGAATGACAAAAATCCCAGATCAGTCCTGAAATTTCAAGGGTTTTTCAGGAGTTTCCTAGAATACATTAAATTCCAGAATAATTTTTTCAGAATTCAAGGATATTCAAGGATTGCTGGATATCCTGATTAAAGGATCGTGTGTATATATAATAATTTGTGAAGTAATTCGCAATTTTGTGTCTCAAAAGTAGGAGAGAAATTTGGTAATCTCGTACCGTAATATTATAGTCATAATGTACGACATGTAGCATAACTAGATCTGTAACTTAATAATAAGGATTTACAACATGCTGTAAAATCATTTCATAAATATTCCATAAACGATATCGATGTAATTTTTCAAGCTATAGTAGAACAAAATTTGATTGCATTAAAAGTAATGTTTTTTTTTCAATTTATGCTCTAATAGAAATATATAGAATATTGTATTATAAAATAATGATAAAAATCACAATTTTTTTATATAAGTACTTCTAAATAAATTCAAGAATATTTATGTAAAGTTAGATTAAGATACAGATATTAATTGATCTGTAAATAAACAAAATATTTATTTGTTATAATCTAACTGGTGAATCTCAATCAAACTTTGCATAAGTTATTTTTAATACTTAAAGTACTTATACAAAAAAAAAATCAGATTTTTTGTTATCATTTTAAAAATTGTTTATAATTATAAAAATACTACCAAATAAAATAAATAATCTTTAAAATGTGTTGTTCAATAAAAACAGAATAAAAACAACTTTTATACATATGTAGTTTATTTAAAGCGTAAATATTAATGTATATGTTTTATGCTCTTACAATCTCCTTAACTTTTCAGCCAAACCCTACAATAATTTCTATACTATAGGAGACAAATTTTGATGTTTCTGATAATGTTTTATGTGCCATTAATACATATAACTTCCAGGAATTATTACGGGTTTCTAAATTAATTTTTATACACAACTGAAAACCACATAATATCAAAAACATTAATTAGTTTTATCTTCAAACTCAATTTTAAGGATTCAGTTGTAATGCCAGAATTGGGCAACGTGGGAATTGGGAAACGTGGACCTGTCGAAAAGGAGATGGAAGGAATTCATATATCAAGGGCAGACAAGAGCAGCATGGAACTGATTGATACGGATTTATTTTTTTGTATAAGATAGTCCTTCCATCTTGAATCAGAGGAAGCTGCATCTCAATTTTGGCATAACTGAATTTCAAGGATCCATTTTATTAGAATATCGATGAAAAATTTTAATTTTAATCTGCGCTTTGCAATTTATTTTGTTTTTATTTATAGGAAATAGAACTTCGTCGTGTTGATCTGGCGACGTAGTGCCCCGTATTGTATATGTGGAGAATATATAGTATAAATATAACTAGAAATTATTTCAGAATTCAATTGGAAAATACTAACTAAATTCTTATAGTTAATATAATTAAAATGGAACGTTTGATATTTAGTCTAACAAACGTTCCAGTTCTAGTTATAAAATATCGAATCCTACTACCGAATCCTACTACCGTACTAAAATATCGAACCCTGTGATAATCAGAAATTCTGCTTAGTTTCACTAAAATGCATTTTATCATA